AAATACATAGCATTCTGTGTGATAGGGCTGAGGTAACAATTCTAGGAGTAGCAGCAGTAGAATGTTGAGAACATAACAGAATTCAGGTCTCTTTTGTGTATGTTTAGGAACTTTAGGAACGTATGAAATTTATATTTTCCAGTTAGTTTCTGACTAGAGATTGGAGCATGTTATTGCTTGAAGAAAAACAAATTGTCAAGGCAACAGGTACTGCATTTCTCACTTGACAAGATTGTTTCTCAGTTTTGTTATTTTCCATCAGAGAACAAGGAACCTTTTGTTCCAAGACCTGATGTCGAAATGTTAGCAAAATATTACGTTAATCAAGCCAAGAATCTTGTGTTTCTGAACCAAAAGTAAGATTTCACAAAGACTCATTTAGAGCATTAAAAGGAATTTGTGCAATATTCTTGCATTTTCAGGCTTACACAAGAATTAGCTTCTAAAAAGCAAAGACCTCCAAGTGTAGAGGTTTAGGAGTTCCATTTGTTTGTGCCTGTCTGTATCAAGTCTATTGTTAAAGGGACTGGGGTTACGGCAGCAAACAAAATAAAGTCTCACCCTTATGAAGCTTATGTTTTAGAGAAAGGGTCTGACTCTGTCAAAATATATCATGTCTGGAAGTGTTAATGTGCAAAAAAAAGAAAAATAAAGCAGGGTAAGAGGATAGCAAATACTATGTGTGGATAGGTAAGTGTGAGTTTATTAGTTGGAATTTGTTAGCTGTCTGTATTACTTGGTTTGGAAAGTATGAATGTTGGCCTTTTACAGGAATGTATATAGTCCAACTCAGGGCAAATGATAGAACTGTGAATGAAACTAAAGGGATGAAAAATGAACAAAAAACTGTCATGAACTATTCAAAAGACAAGAGGGTAATGAAACATTTAACACAGTTTACATACAACAGTTTTAAGGAGTCTCCCTTTGGGGAAAAATTGACTCCTACATCTTAAAATACTTTATGTGATTATTTTCTTCCATGTATTACTTTTTTGATTAGAACAAAAGTTACAGGGGCGCCTGGGTGGCTCAGTCGTTAAGCGTCTGCCTTCGGCTCGGGTCGTGATCCTAGGATCCTGGGATCGAGTGGCATGTCAGGCTCCCTGCTCCGCGGGAAGCCTGCTTCTCCCTCTCCTACTCCCCCTGCTTGTGTTCCCTCTCTCGTTGTGTCTCTCTCTGTCAAATAAATAAATAAAATCTTTAAAAAAAAAAAAAGGAACAAAAGTTACGGAAATACTTTCAAAGCTATAGTTTGTTTCAAAGCGCTGTTCTTTGAATTAGAGATGACACTATTGTCGGGAAGCAAGAATTTTCTCTGTCCTTCAAAGTCCTAGCTGGACTAAGAATCATATTGACATGAGACAGATTAACAGGAGAAAATAAAATTTAATAGCATACATAGGGGGAATCTGTACAGACATGGAAATTCCAGAGACAGGCAACATGATGCTTGTGTGAGCTGAGGAGAGGGGTAGGGGTCTGAGGATACAAAGGGCAGACAGACCATTAGCAGGAAGGTGAGAGGAAATGGATGGAAAACAAAGATTGCCTTATGTAGGTAAGTGTCTTAGGTAGGGGAATCTCTGTTAATAGCTCTCTTCTTGGTACAAGCAGGCAGATGAGGGGGAGGTAAAGAGCTTTTCCTCAATCTGCTGGGTTTTAACTGCTTTTAACTCAAAATAATGTTCATGCCAAAGTGACCATCTTGGGGCAGCCATCCCTTGGCCCCTGTGCTATTAACTACAGATACTATGATTTAGATTTTCAGCAGTATTGTTAGATGAATTAATTTAAACCTGGATCTGACTTGTTTTCTAGGGAATGTATTTGTAAGTTAGTTTGTGGTCATGTTACAGAGGGGACCCTAAGCCACACATACTGTTAAAAATAACTGACCACTATACTTTCTTGGGTTTACTTGCTCATTGGTCAAGGAATAGGGTTATCAAGGGCTATGTGTAGAATGTGCCTACTTCCCAAACAGATGCCCACAGTGTATACTTATCAAGGGTTATAGTAGGGAAGAAACCTCTCCCTTACTGTCAGCACCAGCTGGTAAAGTTGACTGTACGTATGTGCATTTTCCTTTTGGTAGAAATGGTCCACAGCACTAACTGGTAAGGCTTATTGTATAGTCAGTATTATCAGTATTTTTCTGGTTCAACATACCTTATAGTTCATATATAACCTGTGTTAATTATGTAGATTGTGCATTTAAAACTGTTACCAAGTTGTTAGAACATAAGAGCGGAAACAAGGTCATATGAATTATTTTGTAAGTATCCTTTGTATCACAACAAAGGAAATTTTTTTTTTTTTTTTAATTATTTGAAAGAGAGCGAGAGAGTGCTCTCAGGCGAGGGGAGGGGCAGTGGGAGAGGAAAAAGCAGACTCCTGCTGAGCAGGGAGCTCCATGCCAGGGCTCTATCCCAGGACCCTGGAATCATGACCTGAGCCAAAGGCAAACACTTAAGTAACTGAGCCACCCAGGCGCCTGGAAATGTTTTTAAAAAGTCAGCTATAATAAAGTAATTTTATTACTTTACACACGTGTGCACACACATACACAAACACAATGTGCTTACGTAGTTCAGTACTAGGCCCTACAAATGGAGGATGTAGCTTTAACTTTTCTTTTTCTGTAAACTAGTTTAATATGTGTAATATGCAACTAAAGTTGCATTTATGAAGATTAAAATAAATTTCAAACTGGTGAGAAAATTTGAAGAAACCATTCAAGATTATCCTTATCATTCAAGTTTCAGAGCAGTGTTAGAATGGTTGATTATAAAACTTAGCAATGTCAGGTTTTATATTTCAAACAGAATAAATTCCAGTGAAATTTATTTTTTTAATTTTTATTTTTTAAAAGATTTTATTTATGTATTTGACAGAGAGAGAGACACAGTGAGAGAGGGAACACCAGCAGGGGGAGTGGGAGAGGGAGAAGCCCGCCTCCCGCGGGAGCCCGATGCGGGTTCGATCCCAGGACCCTGGGATCATGACCTGAGCCGAAGGCAGATGCCCATTGACTGAGCCACCCAGGCACCCCTCCAGTGAAGTTTAGTAAAACGCTCAGAGCTCATATTTACGTACTGTTATCATTACCCTATTACCTATATTGACATACTTATTCCATTGAGAAATGAATATTTGATTCAATATGCAGTATAAAACACTTTGCCAGATAGACTTGTGCTACATAATGTGTTTAAATGCTACTCCTTATTTTTTTTTTTAAGGTTTTATTTGAGAGAGAGCATGCGAGAGAGAGCATGAGTGGGGGGAGGGGCAGATGGGGGGGAGAAGCACACTCCCTGCTGAGCAGGGAGCCCAAAGCGGGGCTTAATCCCAGGACTCTGGGATCATGACCTGAGCCATAGGCAGATGCTTAGCTGACTGAGCCACCCAGGTGCTCCTTAAGTGCTGCTCCTTTCTAAGTGAATTAGTGATGTGACCTGAAACTTAAAATGGTTTTGCTAACCAGGTTTATCCTGTAGTTTCCGTTACTCTGTGCTTCCTGTTTTTAGCAGTTGCCTGGAGCTGTTGGGGCAACTGGTTTCCCTTTCTGGGCGGGGAGGGTGACATTAGTGGTGAAAGGAACGGGATATGTTTTGCCTATGAAATATTTTTAAAGCGTGAAACTACAGTATTTCAAATGCTTGAAAGTTCATTTCACTTGTTACTCTTCAGGCTGTATATTTTATGTTGAAACAAAGATTTTTCTTTTTTTTTTTTTTAAGATTTTATTTATTTGTTCATGAAAGACAGAGAGAGAGAGAGAGAGAGAGAGAGAGAGGCAGGGAGCCCGACGCGGGACTAGATCCCAGGACCCTGGGATCATGACCTGAGCCGAAGGCAGACACCTAACCATGTGAGCCACCCAGGCGCCCTAAACAAAGATTTTTCTAACTGTACCATATTGTTTGAAAGAAATTAAAATTTGAGCTTTTTATTCAGTATTAGTAATTGCTGTACCTTACTGAAAGAAACTACTCTTAAGCTTGACACTAAACAGGTGACAAATGAAATATTTACCTACTTAATAGAAATCTGTCTCTTTTTTTTTGGCCAGATGATAAAGCATCTACATCTTTACGTTTTGGGTTTTTCTTTTTTTTTTTAGAGTTTACTTATTTTTTTTTAATTTATTGACAGAGACAGCGAGAGAGGGAACATAAGCTGGGGGAGTGGGAAAGGGAGAGGCAGGCTCGCTGCGGAGCAGGGAGCCCAATGCAGGGCTAGATCCCAGGACCCTGGGATCATGACCTGAGCCAAAAGCAGACGCTTAACGACTGAGCCACCCAGGTGCCCCATCTTTACTTTTAATATTACTATGAAAAATAGTTAAGCATTAGATAGATTGATTCTGTGGATAGAGTTCAAAATCTGTCATATAATGTTAAGATGTGTTAGATAAGATCATAGTACAATTGTCATGAGGAATTGTTTGAAGATGATGATTTAAGAAAATCTTACCCCCTTACTTTCACATAACTGTATAGACTTCATGGCAGGTTTTATCCCGTATTAGTGATAATCTATTTATGTTTACATTTTAGATTTTTTTAAAGATTTTATTTATTTATTAGAGTGTGTGCACCCAAGCAGAGGGAGGGGCAGAGGTAAAGGGAGAAGCAGACTCCCCATTGAGCAGGGAAGCCCGACGTGGGGCTCAATCCCAGGACCCTGAGATCATGACCTGAGCTAAAGGCAGAGGCTTAACAGACTGAGCCACCTAGGCGCCCCTAAAGTTTTATGTTACCTTTGCTGAGAGTGTATAACTTGAATTTTTAAAATAAAATATATTTTGTTTAGTCCACGAATGACCTAAGAAACTGCTTTGAATTTTTCCTACAAATAATTTGAAGAAAGTAATAAAAAAGTTAAAATACATGGGGGAAATCTTTCTTAGTGTAATTACTACCTCTAATTTTTAAGGAAAGAAAAAAAAAGCCTGATTTTTAAAAAAGTTTCACTGAGGTATAAATACATACAAGAGGGGTGCCTGGGTGGCTCAGATGGCTGGGCATCTGCCATTGGCTCTAGTCAAGTCCCATTGTCCTGAGATTGAGTCCCGCATCTGGTTCCTGGCTCAGCGGGGAGTCTGCTTCTCCCTCTCCCTTTGCCTCTCCCCGTGCTCATGTTCTCTCTGTATCTCTCTGTCTCAAATAAATAAATAGAATCCTTAAAAAAAATTGTTAAAAAAATAAATACATACGATAAACTACACAAATTTATTTATTTATTTATTTTAAAGATTTTTATTTGAGAGAGAGAAAGAGAGAGAGAGAGAGCACATGAGAGTGGGGAGGGTCAGAGGGAGAAGCAGACTCCCCGCGGAGCAGGGAGCCTGATGCGGGACTCAGTCCTGGGACTCCAGGATCATGAGCTGAGCCGAAGGCAGTCGCTTAACCAACTGAGCCACCCAGGCGCCCTAAACTACGCAAATTTAGAGTGTACAATAAGTTTTGACATGTATACACTCGTGAAACAGTCACCATAATTAAGATACTGAACATATCCCTGCCAAAAGTTTCCCTGGGTCCCTCTTTGCCTTACTGCTTACCCCTAGGCAACCACTGATCTTATTTCTGTCACTATAGATTAGTTTGCCCTCTCTAGCATTTTATGTAAACAAGATCATAGAGTATGCCGTCTTGTTTGTCTGCTTTCACTCAGCATAATTTTGAGATTTATTCATGTTATCAGTAGTTCCTTACTCTTTATTGCAAAGTAGTGTTCCATTGTATGGATGTACTACAATTTACCCATTCACCTGTTCATAGACATTTGGGTTGTTTTTAGTTTATGGCTATTACAAACAAAGCTGCTATGAATATTTGTTTATAAGTCTTTACGTGAATATATGCTTTCATTTCTCTTGGATAATTACTTAGGAGTAGAAGGGTTGGGACATAAAGTAGATACGGGTTTAACTTTTAAAGAAATAGACTTCCAATGATTAACATAACAATAAAAAAATAAAAAAAAAAAGAAATAGACTTCCAAAGTGCTTGTACCATTTTTATAGTCTTACCAGCGGTGTATTAAAGTTCTAGTTGGTCTATTTCTTCACCAAGTTTGTCATGGTCAGTCTTTTTAAAATTTTAAACATTCTAGGGGATGCCTGGATGGCTCAGTCATTAAACGTCTGCCTTCGGCTCAGGTCATGGTCCCGGGGTCCTGGGGTCAAACCCCGTATCTGGCTCCCTGCTCGACGGGAAGCCTGCTTCTCCCTCTCCCACTCCCCCTGCTTGTGTTCCCTCTCTCGCTGTCTCTCTCTGTCAAATAAATAAATAAATTAAAATAAAATAATCTTAAAATTTTAAACATTCTAACAAGCATGTAGTGGAATAATTTTTTTAATATTTATAAAGATTTTATTTATTTGAGCACAAGTAGGGGGAGCTGCAGGCGGAGGGAGAAGCAGACTCCGCACTGAGCAGGGAGCCTGATGTGGGGCTCAATCCCAGGGCCCTGGGATCATGACCTTGAGCAAAGGCAGTTGCTTAACAACTGAGCCACCCAGGCGCCCCCATTTAGTAGAATCTTATTGTGGTGGTAATTTGCATTTCTCTGACGATAAATGATGTTGAGCATCATTTCATGTACTTATTTGCCATCTGTATATCTTTATTGATGAAACATCAGTTCAAATCTTTTGCATATATATATATCTATAGATATATATATATTTTTTTTTTTTTTGAGAGAGTGTTCAAGTGTGAGAGGGTAGGTGCTGAGGGAGGAGAGAGAGAATCTTAAGCAGGCTCCTTGCTTAGCACAGAGCCTGATACAGGGCTCGATCTCACGACCCCGAGATCATGACCTGAGCTGAAATTAAGAGTCAGACACTTAACCAACTGAGCCACCTGGTGCCCCTAGAGTTTTTCTAATTAAAAAAAAAAATCATAACAGTAAATAGATACTAACATTAAGCCACTACATTACTGATTTTCTTTTCTAGAATTCAGCATACAATTGAAATAAAATGACAACCTCCTGGAGTGATCGGTTACAGAATGCAGCGGATATGCCTGCTAACATGGATAAGCATGCCCTGAAAAAGTATCGGCGAGAAGCCTATCATCGGTAAGTATTTTGTCTATTTAATCCTCAAAACATCTCTATGAAGTGGGCACATATTATCTTCATTTTAAAGATAATGAAATTAATGTGTAGAGAAGTTAGGCAGTGTATAGATCATATAGTTGATTCATGGTTCAGACCTAGTCCAGAGTCTAGACTTTTTTTTTAATATTTATTTATTTAAATAATCTCTACACTCACCGTAGCCTTGAACTCACGACCCTGAGATAAAGAGTTGCACACTCTGCTCTTCCAAATGAGCCAGCCAGGCACCCCCAGAGTCTAGACTTTTAACCACTAGTACACCATACTGCTGCTGCTGCATTTTAAAAGGAAATTTCTTGTTGTTCTTACATCTACGAATAAAAGTCCTTTACTAAAGAAAGTTTTTGGATGCTAGAAAATTGTACCCAGTTAATAGGAATGAAATTCTTTTTTTTTTTTTTAAGAACTTCTTAATTGACATTTGCCACAAACTGATGAACTGATGATGGTTTTTTTGTTGTTTTTTAAAGATTTTGTTTATTTGACAGAGGAGCACAAGTAGGGGGAGCTGCAGAGGGAGAGGGAGAAGCAGACTCCCCGCTGAGCAGGGAGCCTGACGTGGGTCTCCATCCCAGGACCCTGGGATCATGGCCTGAGCCGAAGGCAGATCCTTAACCAACTGAGTGACCCAGGCGCCCCTCGATTATAGTTTTTAAATAGATTTTTTAAATTGTGTCTACTGGCTACTTTATTAGATTAAATGTGGGTAACGCTCAGTAATAGCAGTATTTTCTTATATTAAGACTTTAACATTTTCTCTGAATCATTTTTCCTTTAAAAGTTTAAAATGTGGGCAACCCTCTTCGGTCCCCTCCCTCTTTGGGAGCTTTGTGCCATCACTCTATAACTTTATTATCGCTCAATAAACCTTGGTTTGCTGCCCACCAAAAAAAAAAAAAAAGTTTAAAATGTGGCTCAGTTAAGCGCCCGACTCTTGGTTTTGGCTCAGGTCATGATCTCATGGATGGTGAGGTTGAGCCCCACATAGAGCACCATGCTCAGCAGGGAGTCTGCTTGAAGATTCTCTCTCTCTGCCCCTCCCCCTGCTCACACTCACTCACTCTCTCTCAAATAAATCTTTAAAAAGTTTAAAATGTAAATATTTTGAATTTATTTGTCACTCTTTTTTTTAAGATTTTATTTTTTTGAGAGAGAGAGCACAAGAGGAGGGAGGATCAGAGGGAGAAGCAGACTCCCTGCTGAGCAGGGAGCCCGATGCAGGGCTCAGTCCCAGGACCCCAGGATCATGACCTGAGCCGAAGATAGTCGTTTAACCAGCTGAGCCACTCAGGTGCCCCTATTTGTCACTTTTTTAAAAAGTTTTATTTATTTTTTAGAAAGAGAGTATGAGCCATGGGGGAGGGGCAGGGGGAAGCAGACTCCCCAGTGAGCATCTAAGGCAGATGCTTAACCGACTGAGCCACCCAGGTGCCACTTATTTGTCACTTTAAATAGATTGAATTAAATGGCTGTTTCTGCCTAATCTCTAGTAGCTAAGATATGTGGAAGTAGGTCCTGCATTTAGAAATCACTTGTTTTTAGAAATTAGAGGTTTACGCTTTCCATAAATTAATAGAATAGAAAGACCTGGGCCCTGTTAGAACTATCTCTGCCTCCCATGTTGGGAAAGCAAGGCATAAGTAGAAATGCTGGTGTACTGGTAGTGCTAAAAAGTTGCATGGGAACTCCAGGAATCTATAGCAACTCGTAATTACTCATTTGTTTCTAAGCTAGAGGAAAGAGGAAATATTTGGTATTTTATACTTACTCAATTATTTGTTTGTCTTTATGCTACATACATTTGGCTATGATGTAAGATATTTATCAGTGGAAACAAGGGCCAGAATTATGCAATGAAGAGAGATCATCTAGTACACATCAGGTGTCATAATTGTATTTAATATGTCATAGCCTGAATGCTTCTGACTCATTTAGAATGATATTTCCTGGAAAATTTTAGACTGGCTCTGCACCCTACTTTCTTCATATGGTAGAGTGCAATCTGAAATAGTAGAAATAGTAGGAAAAACACCTTCAGGGATTTAAATTTTTAGATCATTTAAAACTTTTTCTTTTTTCTTATTGTGGTAAAGTATACATAACATAAATTTGTCATCTTAACTGTTTTTAAGTGTATACTTAAGTGGTAGTAAGTATATTCACACTGTTGTGTGCAGCCATCACCAGTATCCATCCCCATAACTTCATTTTTTACAATTGATACTATATATATATATATCTATTAAACAATAAGTCTCCGTTCTCCCCTCCTCCAGCCCCTGCCAACCAACCACCATTATACTGTCTGTCTTTATAATTTTGACTACTCTAAGTACTTCATATGAGTGGAATCATACAGTATTTGTCTTTTTGTGACAACCTTAGCATAATGTTCTCAAGGTTCATCCATGTTGTAGCATATTGCAGAATATCCTTTTAATGTAAAATTTGGGTTCTTGAATTCTTGCAGGTATTTGCTTTTGTTAATTAAAAAAAATTTTTTTTAAAGATTTTATTTATTTATTTGACAGAGAGGCAGCGAGAGAGGGAACACAAGCAGAGGGAGTGGGAGAGGGAGAAGCAGGCCTCCTGTGAGCAGGGAGCCTGATGCGGGGCTCGATCCCATGATCCCTGGGATCATGACCTGAGCCGAAGACAGAGGCTTAACTGACTGAGCCACCCAGTCGCCCCTGTTAGTTAAAAATTTTTAATAGAAACCATTTAAAAGGAAATTATCTTAGTTTTATAGTTAAGTCAATTTGTAGAATATTCTGTTTCTGGGGCTTTTTATTAAGACATTTATTGGAGTTGGTAATTTATCATTGGTTACTATGATGGTCATTTGTCATAAACTACATTGTATGTGATGCTTTAGAATTCCTTTTTAGAAGAAGCTAAATATTTTTAGTTAAGTAAATAAACATCTAACTTCCAGCTTTTTTTCTTGCTAATATTAGTCTTTTAAAAATGATGGTCATGAG